TTTTCTCTTCTCCTCTCTCCTTCCTCCTTCCTCCTTTCTCCCTTTGATTCTCTTTCTTCTGCCCTTCAACTCACATCTCAGAATTAACTTGCTCTCCGAATTGAGGACTTGCAAAGAGATTTGCAATGAGACTGAAAATCAACTGTCCCTTTGTGTGTGGCAACCCATTGTCATTTATGTCTTTGTCTCCAAAGGCATCATGGGAAGCATTCACAAGCTCTTGCTATGCAGCCGTGATGAAAAATAATATATTTGGCTAACAACAACAATAACAAGATCACAATGAAGCCATTTAGATCATTTAAGCGTGGCTGATTATGCTGGTGAGAAGCAGAGAGAGTCAGCAATACCTCATTCTCCCTTCTATTTTTCCCCCCAGGCATTAAGATAGTGTGACATCAGCCCCATCTGCTATTAAAAGCAGTAGCACATCAGAATTGCTGTGAAATATGTGCACATGTACTGAGAGATCCTAAGAAGAATACAAACCATGTAGCAATGTATATTGCTGAATGATATAATTTATTTTGCTTTCCTGGTATATAATAGAAAAAACATTGTCTGCCTCATATATTAAGGGTGTTGTCCGGATATACTAAGAATTCACTTCCCAGAATTCTTGGCTTGGAATTTTGGGAACTGAAGTCCTAAAACATCTAAAACGTCATAAAGCTCCACCTTTCTCCAAAAATGAGGAAACTCAGGAATGACATAACCTTTGAATGAGATTAGATAACCCATGCCCCAAAGGATCATTGTTTCAGAGGCATTTCCTTATTCAAACAGAGAAAGAAAATGACCAAGGTCGCCCCAAAAAGCAGCGGGAGCAGAACTGACTTCCAACTTCCTGCCAGCTTTCCCATTAAGCTTACTTGTAGGAATCTGGCAGGGAGCCTTGGAAACTTTCCTTGCTTCCTCCCTCCCTCCCCTCCTCTTTCCAGCAGATAGGTAAGTGGCTGCTGTTGGCTAGGGAGGCAGCAAGGGATTGCTAGACTGGCTGGGAAACTGTCATGGAACATTGAAAATTAAGATTACGTGAATGCGGTAGCAGTCCAGCAGGTCAGTTGGTAGCACTACTATTGAATCAACCATAACATTCTCAAATGTCACTCCCTTGGGAATCCTAGATTTTGGACACATTCTTTATGTTAGCCCTTTTCAGGTATGTTGTTACAAAAATTGTTGCCTATGAGAAACAGTTTTGACCAGTTAAAAGGTTATGACAATAAGAGTTGTAGTAGTACAGTGATACCTCGGTACTCAACCGCTTCAAAACTTGCCCAATTTGGTACTTTAATTTTTTTTTAAATCATCCTGGTCTGCCTAAATATGGGGCTTCTGCTTTTGCCTTTCAGCCCCGATCCAGGAGCCGTCACAGGCAATTGCTTTCGCAACAAACTATGTTTGTGTTAAATTTATATTTACCGACCAAGAAATAAAAGAAGACTAGTATAGATCTATTTCAAGCTATTTAGCTCTTATCAGCTAGCCATACCCTTCTGGGACTCGAACCTGGGCTGCTTCCATATTAGGTAAATGTATTAACCTCTAAGCCCCAGGCTCTCCTAGCATTGTCAGCTATACCAGGGGAGAGATTGTTTTTTTTTTTTAATCAGGGCAACCTGGTCTGTCCAAATATGGGACGGAGCATACTGCTTCCATTTTGGTACTTGATTGTTCCAGTACTCGGTGTTTGTTTAGTACCTGATGAGCTTCAATAGGAAGGAGACGGGAAGCCACCCATGTTGGGAAGATAAACATATACTAAGGTACCACTTGTGCATGCTTCGCACTTTTAGAAGCTATTCGAGTAATAGGGGAAAAATACAGCCTTTATAAGTGGCAAGTGCCGATATGGTAGCTCTGAAATTTCCCACTTTCAGAATCGGGATTGGTTGGACGATATTCTAAGTGAAGACGACCCTGGATTCCTCTGACCGTTGTTGCCAGATATGCTTCCTAACAAGTCATGCGCTCAACCTTTGGTTTGCTGAACAAACCACAGTGCCCTGCCGCTTCCCAACAAGAAGCCATCAATGTAATTGAGAAACTGTGTTGGTGGCGCATCATGCTGAGCAATATGCAAATGCATCACATTGCAATTCATCAGGACTTGGATCCATCACAACCTGCCGAGTTTAAGGTGCAGGTGTCCTCCCTACTCCACGATTTTAAACGGACGAGAGTTTGAAGCCAAAACCTTAAGGCATGCAAAGCCTGTGTGACCCACAGGAGCTGCGATCTCTGGCCAAAGGAAATTCCTGCCGCTCAGGAAGGAAGGTCAAGGTATATATTTGGCAGACAAAAGGAAAATGTACAGGTTAGAAATAATGTTTTTTTTGTTCCAAGAAAAATTCAAGCGGCACGAGACTGCCCTCTTGTGGAAGACCATGGATATATACCATTCACATTTCAGGGTTGGGGCAGGGGGGGGTTTAGAATGCAAAACAAACAGGGCAATGTATACAGTAGCATCCAAAGAAGATCTGCCTTTCAGTTTTAAAAGTTAAGATTCTAGTCCTCATGCACTGCAAAGGTGATTCTGAAAAGTACAGGTAGACCTTGACTTGCAGCCATTTGCTCAAAGGCGGTTCGAAGTTATGATGGTCTCAGAAAAAGCGTTTTTATTATAACCCATGTTGGAAGTTATGACGGTTGCATTTATCGTGATCTGTAACCTCCCCAGCTGGCTTCGAAACAAGTAAAGTCCATTAGATTTGCTTAATGGCTGCGTGATTTGCTTAACTAAGACGAGGTTCACATTAAAGACCCTGGTAAAAACGTTTGTAAAATTGGGTGCGGTCACACACGATGACCCATTTAAAGCAACCACATCACTTAGCGACCCAAATTCTGCTACCAATTGTGGCTGTAACTTGAGGACTACCTGTAACGGGTAATAGACCATCAGAAACGCCAAAAGCCCAAGATAGGAGAGCAGAAGCTACAAGTGTTTTGTCCTTTACAAGAGCCACAGTGGCAAGAATACAGTACTGCAGGCTACTTCTGCTGACTGCCGGCTGCCTGTAATTTGGCAATTTGAATCTCACCAGGCTCAAGGTTGACTCAGCCTTCTATCCTTCTGAGGTCCCAGTGAGGACAGTGAAGACCCAGATTGTTGGGGTCCCTAGGCTGACTCTGTAAACCGCTTAGAGAGGGCTGAAAAGCACTGTAAAGTGTTATATAAGTCTAAGTGCTATTGCTATTGCTACATCAGAAATGGCTGGGAAAAATGTAAAACGGTCTCCATAATTCATATAATCTAAACCCATTTAAGAATTCAGTTCTTGGAGAAGAATCCAAATGAATTTTCATTTTTCTCTTTCTTTTCTAACAGCACAGAGGTACCTGTTAGCTGTCTATGACCATCTAGGCTATAATGGGGACATATGGTGTGATACCTGCGTAAAACATCACATGGGAGAAGCGGAGAACAAACAGCATCGGACTGTACTGTCTGTCATCACAAAAGGCAGCTTCCAATTTTCTAAAATTAACCCCCTTTGAAGTGTTCGCCGTTTCTTGGCTGCAGTGCTACCAAATGAACAAAGAGAGAAATAATCCAGCCTCACTCTTATCTCATGTTTTTTTTAAAATTAAATATAAATATTTCAAGTGTCCATACATTTCTCCCTCTTCACCTCTGAAGCACCACAGGCTCTAGCAGGCATGGCTCCAAATGGCCTCTCAGGGATCTGGCTTGAAAAATGCAAAAAAAGAAGAAGGAAAAAAGGAACAAAAAAGTAAACCAAACTCCGTTGGTTCCGAAGACACGAAAGCAACAATGTCCTCCCCTTGGAAATGCCCTACAGGAGCATAAAAATACACTTAAGGCAAAAAGGGGGGGCGGAAAAGGAAAGGAAAAAGGAGGAATAACTTAACTCTAAAGAAAACCGACAGCTTTATCCATCCCCCATAGATGCACAAACAAGATCAATAGATCTTGCCCGTTGCTGGCTTCTTGCTCTCTTCCATGCTCTGCTTTTCTGTTCTTTTTTCCCCTTAAATTAGATTTTATTCCGACAGTTTGGTTTTATTTTGTCAGTTCCTTTCAGGTTTTCTCTTGGCATTCGTGGTTAAACACCACCGCCACCTGCTGGCGAGTCTCAGGTGCTGCAAGGGCTTGGAAATAGCACACCTTTCCCTCCCCTTAAAACATGGCACTGCCATTACCTAAGAAAGAGGAAAGAATTTAGTTGCCTTTTTATCCATCCAGGGAGTCCACCCCCTGCTTGCTAAAGAGAGGGAAGATGGGAGTTATTTAAACCAGGGTTTCTTAACCTCAGCCACTTTTTAAGGCGTTGTGGACTTCACCTCCCAGAGTTCCTCCAGCCGCTTTGCTGGTGGGAGAATTCTGGGAGTTGAAGTCCACACACATACACCCCTTAACATTGCTGAGGTGTGAGAAACACGGATGTAAACCACAGCATCGAGCCAGGAAAATGAAAATACAAGCACTAGTGCCCATGCGTAAAGATTTCCCAGAATCATGCGACTGCAGGAAAGGGGGAAGGGGGAGCCATCAGTCAGTCTCACTCTGCTGAGGCAGCTCGATCACCAATGGATTTGTAAGCTACACTTATGGCTGATCTCCCATGAAAGCTTGGCCACCATGTGAAATCTGGATTCTTACAGACTGAGTCACCCCACCCCCCAAATAAGGTCAGGTCCAGACCCAAAGGGGGGATCACAGCGCATCCCAGGTCCGCTTTTGTGTCCTGACCCAAAGAAAGTCTGTCTATCGATTGTTTCACAGTTCTAGGTTCCGGTCGGAAGAAGGCAAGAAGGAGGTCGGCCATCTTGGTTGCCGGTGTGGCCTTCCCACTCCCCAGGCCAGTCCCCTGTTGAGGTCCCCAGTAGGCGAGACGAGTTTGGGGCCCTCAGGAAGAGATTTGAGGTCCTCCAGACTGTCCCCACTGGAACCAGTTTCCCCCACCCGAAGTGAGTGTCCACTTCCGTTTTTTTCTTCACTAAAGGAGTCCGGAAGGGGTGGGGCTCCGTCATACGTGGGTCTGCATGCGCTGTTGAGCAGGGCGCCCATAGTCAGACTGCTGAGACAAGGAAGTGTAGGAGAAACGGGAGCAGCCCGAAGCCTTGCTGGCTTGGTCGGACTGCTCGTAACCGCTCTCAGCTTTCTCGTAGCTGCTCGGCTTGACGTAGCTGGTGAACGCCCGGCTGTAGGGAGCGGTGAGGTATGTCGCCCCGCTGTATATGTTCTCTGGAGGGAAAAGCCGCTCGTGGGTGGTGTCGTAGGCTGAGCGGGAACTGGGGGTGCCCAAGGTGTAGCGGTGGGTGTAGTCAAAGAGTTTTGGTTGCACCGGCCCCGCGGAAGGGTACAGGGACGTTGGCCCGAACAAAGGCCGGGGGGCTGGCGTGTATTCTGAAAAGCTGCTCCCCAAGCAGGGCTCCTCGTGGGCACGCACCTTGTAGTAGCCATTGGTGGGGTCCTGCGGGGGAAAAAGAAGGTCATGACATTAGAGGTGGACACAGCTCAGTTTTAGGTTGCCAGCCAGAAGCAGTGCCATTTTCTTAGGATACAGATAATCAGAGTTGGAAGGGACCTTGTAGGTCATCTAATCCAACCCGCCACTTAAGCAGGAGACCTTACACCCAGGGATGGGATTCTACCAATTCGCACCTATTCGCTAGAACCGGTTGTTAACATTCTAAGCAATTCAGAGAACTGGTTGTTAGAAGAAATTACTGGCCTAATCCTGTAAAGAAGGCAGGAAGGAAACATTCTGGAGTTGCTTACAGAAACTGCCTCTCCGTTAACCCTCATTACATTCCTGGCAGGACTAGATTTCCTGTCTCAGGAACGTCTTTGGAGTTATTTTCCCACTCCTTTGCTGGTACTTTGCTTGTGTGGAGTGACCATTCAAAGTTACAATGGCACTGACAAAAGTGACTTATGACTATTTTTCACACTTACGACTGTTGCAGCATCCCCATAGTCATGAGAGGCCAGGCGAGGAGATGCGTGCCTCGATGTGAGTGATATTGAGTTGGCCACATCCAACCAATAACAGGACCACCAAGCCACGCCCACCACCTAAGCTACGCCCACAGAACTGGTTGTTAAAAAATTTGAATCCCACCCCTGGCTATTTCCGTGACAGTGAACCTATGGCATGCGTGCTGGAAGTGGCATGCAGAGCCATTTCTGCTGGCGCATGGGAGGTTGGCCAGAACAGACCCACAGCGCATGTGCGTGCGCACCCTCCACCAGCCGTGCATACGCAGGAGGGGCGGGGGGGTGCACGCAGGAGTCATGCATCAAGTGCAGAGGCGTGCGGTATGTGCGCAGGTGGTGGTGGGGTGTCACACATGCATTGCATTATGGGTGCAGGCACATGTGCGTGGACTTTCGGCACACGACAAGAAAAAGGACAGCCATCACTGCCCTACACCATTTCTGACAAATGGCAGTCCAATCTCTTCTTGAAAGTCTCAGTGATGTATTTCTTAGGATACAGTAGTACTGCAGAACAGTTTTCCATGCTTAAGAACTATCGTTCGCAGGTGAACCTAAATCTCATCTGTCGTAGGAATCTTCTCCCGCACAAAGTTAACCGCACCAAACTTGATTGCAGGAAATATGACTTTAGCAACAGAGTGGTCAATGTCTGGAATACTCTACCTGACTCTGCGGTTTCTTTCCCAAACCCCCAAAACTTTAACCTTAGACTGTCTACTATTGACCTCACCCCCTTCCTAAGAGGCCTGTAGGGGGCGTGCATAAGCGCACCAACGTGCCTACCGTCCCTGTCCTATTGTTTCTTTTTTTATTTTTCTTATACATATCCATTTCATGTATTCATAACTATGTTTATACTTATACCTGTTAACTTGTAAGCAATTGACAAAAATAAATAAATGAAATCAAACTTCCTTTCTACCTCATTTGTTTATTCATTGCGGATGCTTCCATTCCCTCTAAGAGCCTACTGGTGAAGGCCTTCTCCTGTTCCTCTCCACCAACACATTGTGGGAAGGAAGATGGCTTGAAAGAGAGCGAGTGGTCTACACTTCCCCAGGTAGACCCAGAACCAGGGAGGGGGGAACCTGAAGGCAAATTCCTCTGCAACCACACTGGCTCAGACAGATATGTGGGAAAATCCCACACAGCAACCTCAGCCGAGCTCACCTTCAGCTCCTGACTCCCTTCGTCATCCTCCAGGATTTCACTGTGTTCAGTGTGCGATGTGGCTGGAGACTCGCTGCTTGTAGCCTGGAGGCAGAGGAAGGGGGAAAGGTGAGCAATTGGTATCCAAGAGGGCTTTGCACAGCTTGGGGGCCCAGAATTGAAACTGCCCACCTGGCGTAGGACCTTAAAGTAGAATGGAGCAATAATGCTAGTGTATGGGAGGGAGGGGGACAAGAAGAAGAAGGAGGAGGAGGAGGAGGAGGAGAAGGAAAAGAAAGAGGAGAAGGAGGAAGTGGAGGAGGAGGAGGAGGAAGAGGAGGAGGAGGAGGAGGAGAAGAGGAGAAGGAGAAGGAAGAGGAGGAGAAGGAGGAAGAGGAGAAGGAAGAGGAGGAGAAGGAGGAGGAGGAGGAGGAGAAGGAGGAGAAGAAAGAGGAGAAGGAGGAAGAGGAGGAGGAGAAGGAGGAAGAGGAAGAGGAGGAGAAGAGGAGGAGAAGGAGAAGGAAGAGGAAGAGAAGGAAGAAGAGGAGAAGGAAGAGGAGGAGAAGGAGGAGGAGGAGGAGGAGAAGGAGGAAGAGGAGAAGGAGGAGGAGAAGAAGGAATAAAGGCAAATTTAAAACAATAACACCTCACTTGGTGGTTGCCAGACCACTGGGAGCTGCCACTCAAAACTGTGGGCCTGAATATGAGCTAAACATGGACAGGGAAATTTAGATGTCACAAAACAAGAACTTGGAGGCCACGTGGATCTTCCTGGTGGCCCATTCTATGTTCTGGGAGTGTCAGGTTCCCCCAGGGTCCAAAAAGGCATGTGGAGTTTCTTCTCAGTAATTTTTTAAATTGTTCCTCACTTATAGACAGAATTTTTGCCAAACTAAATTGTTTGCATATCAGGGGTGGGCAATTATATTTTCCCAAGGGGCTACATGCAAAACTGGGATTGTTATAGAGGACTGGATCAACAGGGCAGCTGCCAAGGGCTGAACAGGGACAGCCAAAGGGCTGGTTATGGCCCGTGGGCCCCACATACAGCACTCTGGGAATGGCTAGTGAGAAACCTTCTTAACTCTCTTCCTCTCAACCAAATTTTCCATGCTTTGCTTTCCCTTTGGCCTTTGGAATGCAGCCCCGCCCTCCTGGGAATCCAGACTACATTCCACCACAGAGGCCAAGTGAGATATGACACCTGCGTTTATGCCACACCCTCAAATGGAGTGGCTGCATTTCTATGACATGCTAGATTTGATCAGTTTTAATCTAAATTATTTTGGGGTTGTGGGGAAGGTAGCGTGTTGTGTGAATGATGGCCATTTAATCAAGTAGAGTACAAAGAATTGAAATGAGATTTATTCACCAACCAGACTGAGTGGGCAGCCAATAAACATTAGACTGTTTTTGTTCAATGCAACTCACTCCTTTTATTTCAGATTCAAATTCGTGTGCCAGTATCAGGGCTAAAAGAATGGCTAAAAAGCATGCTAGGTGGCTAAAACAGTGGCCTCTATGGCAAAGGAAGCTATGGGATGAACAAGCTGAAGGTTTGTGGGGGACCTTATAATTTTTAATCGGTGCATGGGGATTTCCTCAATACACACTGAGCATGGAAGGAATCCATGAATGGAGGAGACAGCAAAAAACAGGGGTACGGCGACTTCCGGTTTGAGTTTCTTCGGCAACAGACAGAAGCCTCATCTCTGCGAGGTTTCAATCCATGCTCGCCACTGGAGTGCCCCGAGCCGGCTGGTTTAGGGGCTAAGCCACCCCGTAGAGGAGGTGAAGAAGGGGGAGACTGCCTGCAGGGTTGAGGAGAGCCGCATCTCTCCTCCCCAGTTGGCCATTACTCCCTTTCCCGAAGGCGGTTGTAGCGGTGGTCAGAAATGGCCACCACAAAGAAGAACTCGACCGGAAAAGAATGTGCAGGAGGAAGATAAGAAGAGAAAGTTTTGGTTGACCAGGTCAAACAGCAAAAGCAACAAATAAGGTACCCTGGAATTGAAACTATTAAAAAACAACAATAACATTGTTCCCTAAGAAGATTTTTAAGCTGCGAAGGAGAGAGAAAAGGGAAAAGATTTGGTTTTTTTTTCTCCTTTTCCTATACTGACAGCTAAGAGACTTAAGCAAGAAATTGGAAAAAAAATCCACTTTGACATTAATAGGCATTTAATGCTGAAAAACAAACAAACAAACAGGGGTACGGCATGATTTTCTAGCCGGCTAATCAGTGTTTCACAATCTTGGCCACTTTAAGAAACACGGACTTCCCATGCTAACTGGGGAATTCTGGGAGTTGAAATCCATATTTATTAAATATGGTCCACATTATTTTCGAGGTCAAAAAACACTAAGCTGGGTCCAGGGCCAATGAACTGGAGTATCCTAGAAAAACGTAAACAGTCTGGCTGGAACTTTGCAGAGCAGATGGGAAAAGAGTATTATTGACTGGGGAGGAAAAAACAGCCGCCGGGATCGGTAACTGGGAAGTGATGTTCCTGGAAAATAATAGAACTCTTTGCCTCAAGCATTTGGAGAGCTGCGTGTTATTCTGCCACATTTAGCCACAGCTCCTTCTCTGCCCCCACCGCCAAGTGCGTAATTTTGAATTCTGCATATGCCTCGTTTGCTTCTGGCTACAATGAAAAAAAAAGATAAGTGCTCTCTCTCTTTCTATTCCCCCCAAAGCAGGCAGGGTTGGCTAGCTGGGACTGGATGCTAGTGTTGTGGTTTGCCGGCAGCAGGTGCATCTGCTGGCTGAGGAGATGGCTGAGGAGAGCGAGGACTCAGATGAAGGGCCAGGACCATCAGGGAATGGACTGCTGCCTTCAGAGATTGTGGGAGCTGGCAGCAGCGATGAGGAGGTTCCCGAGGAGCCTGTGCCAAGGGCACGTGTACGAAGGACTACTCGGAGGAAAGAACAATTACAGCAGCACAGGCGACTCAGGAGTAAGGCTGCAAGGTAATGGCCCCTCCCTCCAGAGGATAAAAGCCAGGTTTGGAAAAGCGTTCTTTGCAGATAGCAAAGAAGCTCTGAAACTCAACTGGTGGACATCTTAGTTCATGTTTGGAGAATTCTGTAAATTAGTTCTTATCTCTGGGTTTTTGGCAGCCTTGACAAACAACTTGGCAAGGCTCTTTCTTGCCGGAGATAATTGCTGGAAAGCAGCCTTTTATCTGTAAAGGAACAGCATTTGTGATTAAACCTTGAAAGGTGGGGGATGCTGCCTTTGTCTGTGTTTGCTCTCTGGGAACCCGTTTGGGTCAGGGCCGTTGCAGAAACAGGGACTTGACAGAACCAGAGGACCTCGTGAGTGCCCATCTCTGCTTACCATGGGTTCCTTGGCGTCATCTTCCACCTCGCTGGGCCTGCTGGGGCTGCTCTCGCTTGTGGTGATCTGCACGAGGATATCGGCCTTAGACAGCTGCGTCCCTCGCTTGGCTGTGGAAGAGACAGACAGGGGAGATGCGGAGGTCAGATCGTGCTCCCTGACACCTAGGAAGTTACTCTTAAGGACAATCGTTTTATTTTATTTTTTATTTATTTATTTATTTATATTTATTTATTTTATCAAGCATGTTTTACGATAACAGATATAATTGGAAACATGATTAAGAGTACATGAAATGAGTATGGATAAAAGGGGAAATGTGATGACTCGGAGTGTAACACAAACGTAACAAAATCCAAAATGTAAATAAATGTCCTTTAATGCCTCCAACTTGGCCTCACTGTTCAATAATTCTCAGCTGGAGATAAAACGTACTCAAAAATAGTCTTCAAAAGAGAGCAATACAGTCCGAACTTAATGAGCAGATAGAGGTGAAATAAAAAACCAAAACAAACTACAATGACAAAATTTCGGACCAGGATAAGTATTTACCAAATTCAAATAGTCTGTTGGAAAGACACGAACCAAGATAACTTCAGCCCAGAATAACACACGCTTTGCTTCTGGCAACACTATGTTTTAACCGTCTCTCTTACATACTATTCTCCCCAGCTGCAACCAATGAGGAGGATCATGGCCGCTTCCTCTCTCATAAGCCAAGTTGTTTCCTTCTCCGTTCCTCCCTGCATGTTCTAGGAACCCCTGGCATTGGGCAGAATTAGCCTGCAGTATTGCATTCTAACCACTGCACCAACATGACTCGTGAAAGATGAAGAGGTGGTGGCACAATGGTTAGAATGCAATACTGCAGACTAATTCTGCCCAATGCCAGGGGTTCGATCCTGACCGGCTCAAGGTTGACTCGGCCTTCCAACTTTCCGAGGTTGGTAAATCTGAGGACCCAGATTGTTGGGGGAAATATGTCGACTCTATAATCTGCTCAGGGAGTGTTGTAAAACACTCGGGGGTAGTATATAAGTCTAAGGGCTATTGCTAGGGGCTGTGGTACATGAGTCTAAAAGAAGGAAATGACAAGTTCATTATTCCGAAGTGCTCATTAAATCAGAGTGTACGTCACCCCAATGATTTACATTGTTTGCATGATGATGCTACTAGGCAAACCTTGCCCATTATGTCAGCTGCGTAATGAGATCATTGTTCCAATAATGGAAATGAGATCATTGGCTCCATGGCATCAGGAGGCCAATGACAAAGATGTTGTCATTATACAGAGGACACGAGCTGCTTTGGGAAGTGCGTTCCTTGTACACAGGATGAAGTTGTATCAAGGACTGATCAACTGAGATTTTCTCCCCCTTCTACAGCAGGGGTGTCAAACTCAATTTCATTGAGGGCCACATTAGGGTTGTGTTTGACCTTGCGGGGGGGGGGGCGCTGGGTGGGTGTGGCCAGGGTGGGTGTGGCCAGCTCAATGTCACTCATGTTAGGGGCACCTGTGGTGGCCCGAGTGCTCTTCCAGTGAAAACAGGCTCCCAAGCTCCGGTCCTCCGTGGGCCGGTCCTTTGCTGTTTCTAAGGGGGCCCTGCAGGCCAGATCTGAGTAACAATAACAATAGCACTTAGACTTATATACCACTTTACAGTGCTTTACAGCCCTCTCTAAGTGGTATACAGAATCAGCCTATGGCCCCCAACAATCTGGGTCCTCATTTTACCCACCTCGGAAGGATGGAAGGCTGAGTCAACCTTAGGCCTGTTGGGATTTGATCTGCCAAATTGCAGTAGAAGTAGCTTACAGTACTGCACTCTAACCACTGCGCCACTGAGGCTCACCGGATCCGGCCCCTGGGCCTTGAATTTGACACCCTTGTTCTACAGCGAAGCCAAAAAAGGTCCTACTCAGGGTTCCACCCCATGCTTTCCTATCTCACGGGGCTACTCAAGGTGGCCCTGACAATCACTGTTGAATGCCATTGTGTTCCTGGAGAGGATTTGGCTCAGCTCCGTGTTTCTGCATGTTGGCGGCAGAATTTTGGGAGTTGAAGTCCAACCATACATCTTAAAAGTTGCTAAGGCTAAGAAGCACTGGCTTAGCCTTTGGGGCTTTGACTCAAGTAAGGACTGCAAAGTCCAGGGAGTGAAGAAGGGGAAGGAGTGAGAGAAAGTTGCAGAAATCCTCACCTTTTCCGCAGCGCTTACGTCGATAGCAGAGAGAGACGAAGACCACTAAGAGCAAGAGAGCCACAACGCCCGAGGCAGCCAAAGCACCCAACATCAGGACAGACAGGACCTCTTGGTAGGAAAAAAAAACATGGCTTGGGTTAGTTTCATTTCTGGACTACTATGATCTTCTCCACCGGTGGTGGGTTTCCGAATTTTTTCCTGCTGGTTCTATAAGCGATTCTATGCACGTTCGCGTCAGAGTCAGGGGTGGTATTTGCTGGTTCTCCGAACTAGTCAAAATTTTTGCTACCGGTACGCTAGAACCGGTCCGAACCGCCTGAATACCACCTCTGTTCTCCTCCCGCTTGGAGACTCCAGGTTGGAGAAAGCTACTCTATTCTTAGAAGCTTTCCTCATTTTTTTTTTCTCCTGCTTCCAAAGGCTTTAAACAAACCGGCAAAGATTCTTTTGAATGCGGTAATGAATTTGCAGCGTTTTGGTTTGTAGGGAGAAAACAGCAGCATCAAGGTGTTAATCTGGTTGTTAAATTAACTCTTTTTGGGGGGAGCCAAAGCGCAAGACACCGAACCAGCCCAAGGGTCTGGGTTGGCACAGGATGCTAATCAAGATAGATGCTGCATCTGGCAGATGTTTTATCTAAGTTGGGTAAAAAAAACATCTTTCAGGAGGAGGAGATTCAAATTAGGAAGGGATGATCACCTGCATCTGATGAAGAGAACCACTCAACACTTACCCTTCCTTTTAATAAAAATCTATGAGTCTCAAAAGGTGTTGCGACTGGACTCTTACTGAAATTTCACTACATTGATATTTTAATGCATTGCTCTATCGTTTCTAAAATACACTGAACTCCAAATGATCTCTTCATTCCTTTCCTCCCTTGTCCCCTCCTTCTGTTTCCTTCCTTCCTTCCACCCTCCATTCCTTATCTTTCCTTCTTTCTTTCCTTCCTTCTTTCCTCTCTCCTTCTGTTTCCTTC